GAATATAGCTACTAATTTAAATTTAAATTTTTCAATAGTTTCATTCATGAAAAAGAGGAAGAGGAGTCTTGTCTAACATCTAACCCATCGTTATTCCAAAGGGAACCTCGATTGTGGACAGAATTTAATTGTTTTACTCCAGCATTATCAATATGCATTTGCACATCAGTTTGTTGAATTGCTCATTAAGAGATGAGAAAATACAAGCAAGTAGATATACTTATGTGGTGAGAAAAGATGTTATCCATATGTTCATAGTATTATTCAAGTTGACATCGTGAATTGAATATTCGATTAAAAATTAATTGCTTCGAGAAGTTTACGTATCTGTCGACAAGTACATCGTTTTTTTATTATTTATTGACATCTTATCAAACATCTGAGTGCAAATTAATAAAAAATTATATTTTCGCTAGATGTTTCTGACATTCGTAAGTTTTGTTGCTCATGAATGCATACTTTAAATAAAATCTCTGCAAGAAGTTTCACTAGAAGATCATAGTCCATTGGTAAACTTGTCTCAAATAATAAGACTTTTCTATTACATTAAGAAGAACTTGCAGAATTGTAAACTGTTGTTATTCGCACTTACCAATAAACATGTTTCATTAGGCGAAAATTGTAGCACAGAAATAATTTAGCAACTCGTTTTTCTGCAGATATATGTATATGCATATGCTACTATAAATAATATGCAGTACAGACAAGCTAGTGACCAGTTCAACTTTTCTGAGAAGAGATTTTCGTAATAATATCAGAGTTCGTGTAAGAGTACCAAAACTATATGTTATTAGGGGATACATTAGAAAATGTCTTATGGAGGTAATAAAAAATTCAAACTCTTGGTAGTTTTATTGAATAATAATGAATAATTGTCAATTTCAGGACATTTTACATTTCGTTCATCCCACTTTTCCAACCTCTGAACAATAAGGACAAAAATTAGAACATTTGCTTCACTAAACTTTATCTATAATATGAAAGCTAACTTGGTAGTGAATGACAACATACCAAACATTCGTAATGTTTTATCTTAAAAATTATTCATACATCAGAGAGAAGCAAAACAAAAAGAGAAAGAAAGCAAATAAACATTTCTCTTTTCGTAGATAAGAGAAAAAACCCATGATGAAATATCATCAATAGATGATGACGTAAGAATTTGCATAATCCTTGATGAAACTAATGCTTGCACAATCTTAACTCTTTAAAACAGGTAATTGTTGTCTTGAGGGCAACGAGCATGTGATGAATGGGGAAAAAATTGTAATTTAATGTCATAAAATATATCGATATCTCATGATGATAGTGGTGCATGTGCGTAGTTTGTACGCCAGGAAAGGAAAGAAAGTTGAGTAAAAAGTGAAAAAAGAATAGTTGTGAAGGAGAGTGTATGTTATGTTTACTGTTGTCATCGATGAATAACTCAGTGTTTTTTCTCTGCCCTATTGTGAAATATGTCTTGCGTATGTAATCATTTATACATTTTTATTCGCGTAGTGTCACAGAAACACACAGTTTATTGCTAAAAGAACTTAAATTAACAATGTCAGGTAAGTAATTAATATCTATGTTATAATATAACAAAAGTAATTGTTGAAAGGTGTATTTTGTTTTCATTTTGATCCTTAATATTTGTTCAATATGTGTAATAACACATATTTTTTCCACTGTATGCAACAAATTAAAGTCTATGAATTTTCATTGTGTAGTCTCTTCAATTCAATTTTTATTTGATGACAATCATTTATATTCAAAATATTACGAATATATTCTTTTGTAGTTGCTTCAAATGTTAAAAAAGCCAAAATACTCATTGTCGATATATCAAATCTTCCTACAAAAGAATTAAACGATTTGGTGGTACATTGCTCGAATATTGATGAACTGTTGGCCGCATCAATAAAATACAATGCATTCAATCTTATAATAGCTTGTACCTCCTCGAAACTAACTGAATTAGCTCCAATACTAAGAGGAGTATCGATCGATGCATTGTACATTCTTAATATAGAAGACGCAATCAAATGTTTTGATGAACCGTGGTGGAACAAAACAACAGTAGTTTACAATGAAAAACAATTAATGCGTCATTTGTGCACGAAAAGTATGCTTTGTTTGTATCATGAAGGTCTTGAACATCGAAAGACAGGAGACTTTGGTTTAGCCAATATATGTTTTCTTGATTCAATTCGTGCACTAGATTATTCGGCTAAATTTATATAATGTTTGTTTTGTATGTTTTAAACAATCTGTAATGTAAATTTATTAATAAATTTTCTCATTGTGATACAAAATACTAACACAGATGAGTCATACTATTATTGTAAAATAAATAAATAAATAACCTATCTGATCAATTTAGTTTAGCACTCGATAATATGAACAACTATTTTCAAAAGGGTTGTGTCGGATTATAAGTCAATATGGGTAATCTGCAATTTTAATAAAATATACTTTATTTTTAGAAATTTTTTCAGCATGTATAACAATTATAGAAGCCATTTTATTGAAAAATGATATGAAATAAAATATCTTTGTCTTCGCACATCTCACCCGAAATAACTATAATACACCTCAGAGTCCCATAATTCGAGTAGTTGACGAGAAATCATATCTTTTGCCCAGTCTCATGATACACTCTGGCGATCTTCAAAGTTACTGATTTCAACATCATGCAAAGCTTTTAGCCTTATTACTGTCAGTTTCCTATTTTTCATGAAGTTGAATATAAGTGGTTTGAGTTCTCTCTGGTCAGTGTAATGAGAACAATACAGAAGTTAATATACATAAAGAGTGATCCAAAGATCTTGGGTCCTTTGAGAAAAATGGCTCTTTCTCGCTTATAACAAATGCAAGAAAGCTAAAACTTTAGCATCTTATTCCTTGTGACTAGGCAAATCTTAGTTAAAATTTGAATATCTCTATCCTTAATAATAGCGAATATATATGGGTTAAGTTTCTGGGAATTTTTTTGTTCTCATGTCCTAAAAATAAAAAATAAAAGTTTTTATTCACAAGCAATGTAGGTGATAATTAGATTTCAACTCAAATATACTCATAAATGATAAATAATATTATATTTACATGCTTTTATTGTCTTTCTTATTGACTGGATAGCCTTATTTTTTAATTGGACATTTTCTTATACTTAGAATCGAATTTATTAATTTGGAGAACATTTCACAATGTATTGTCGGAAGCTATGTAATTTTTTTTCAACAGTTTTGGCACATCAATGGTTAGTAAGAAATAGTCGATGTGAAGAACTATTGCAGAAAAAGTTGATAAATGATAAATGAAAATAATAAAATTAATTAGATATTGAAAGATTGCCAATGCCCATTATTTTTCATCTCATCAATTAATATTAGAGCTGATTGAAAACATATATTGTAGTGCTCTAATAAATATCTCAACATAGTTCTATCCATGTAACCATTCCAATCTATACCTATTTTGATATCGATTTTTTACACTTTTTTCTTTTTTGTTTTTGCGGAAACGCTTTGGGTTTTTTAGCTTTAGAATATGAAAGAAAAAAGTTCCTCGAATCTTAACTTATATACCGTTCCCAGTATTGGAGATAGAGATGAAAATTTAGACTAATATTTGCCTAGTCACAAGGAATAAGATGCTAAAGTTTCAGCTTTCTTGCATTTGTTATAAGCGAGAAAGAGTCATTTTTCTCAAAGGACCCAAGATTTTGGATCACCCTTTAAGAGTTGATCAAAAACATCAGTCATGTTTGATCGATTTCTAAAATTAGTATTGAAGTAAAACTGATTATTTTCATGAGTATTAGGTAGATATGAGATGTGTCCAATGTCTCAAGATAGCAAATATTAAAGTGCTCTATATATGCAGAAGTCCTATACGAAAAAATGTGAAAATATCCATCTAATTGATGAAAATCAATAACAATATTTCTTTCAATTTCAATCGGTTTTTTATCAACAGTAGCACATACAAGGTATGTAAAAGTAAACTATGAATTTATAACAAGGTTTATACTTATAGAATATTCTTACGTGAAACAACACTCAAACAGTGATATGGTCGATTAAAACTGATTTCTCATGTAATTGCATCATCTCGGTTTGAAACAATTTATATACCAATCTCAACTTTACTCTAATTGCTCAAGTTTAGCTTGATGACAACTTCATAATTTCTAAGTACGAACAATTCCAAAAAATAATATGCAATTAGAACTTCGCGTTCGAATACCGTGAAAAACTCCTATCTTCACGGTGTATGATTATAATCGATTAGCAAGCAAGACGAGATTAAAAGCAGTTCAAAGTTAAAAATAGATTAAAATCAATTAAGAAGTGGTAATCTATTGAAATTTATTAATATGTAGCAGAGAATTATAGCAGATAATTCCCATCGAAAAAAACGAAAGAAAATCTGGCTCTCATCAATTTTTTTCGTCACTCTTCTCGGACGAAAATCATTCTCTATTTAGTTATGTTTCATCTGATCGTTGAGAAACTCGTACAGTAGTATAGATATTGATCAAAGTTGAACTGAAGTCAATTATATGAGAATTTGTAGCATGACTATCACGAAAAAATCCAATTTATAATTGATTATAATTTGGATTTTGGTTAGGTTCATAGAATTTTGAAATTTTAATCGATTTTAATCTTGAAAATTTTTTACTAAGGTGCCATAGTCTCATTCAAGTCTCTAGCTCACTTATATACTTCGTATTTTAGTTGTAATAATCGTTCAAATCTATGCTACGCGTTTCTTTAATATTTTCTTGACCTTCGTCATCATACCTCTTTCTTCTTGTTCTTAACTTTTATTTCTCTTTCATTTAGCCTGAAGCCAGATTGTCTAAATATTATTGATTTGACAATTTCAAAACCTCTATGAATGGTACGACGATGTTTTTACTCTGAAAATTCAATCAATAACTATTGTAATACGTTCTTTTTTTTAGTACTGCATTATTTTATAAGAAAAAAGTCTTACATAGATAAGAGAGTTTATTTCTTTATCTTTTTTAAAACTAAATCAATAACCATCATGTCAGTTTCGAAGTCATCCAACTGTTCTTTCATTCCTTTCTCATGTAAGTCCCAATATTGATCTAATATCTTGTCGATTTCTTCTGATGATCGTTGTCCATTATCGATCAGTGCTTGCTTGAGCGGATATTCAAGAGCGATACGCACGGCCGCGGTCAGTACTCGAGCCAAATAGTCAAGTGTTATCTCACCATTTCGTAACTGTTCTCCCAGAATTGATTTGACGTTAACAGTGTCTGATTTGATCAACTCAAGATCAAATTTTGCAAAAAGATCCCGATCGACACATTCAGAATAGGAGCGACAATATATAGGTAGTGTATAATCAAGTAGTTCTGGAGATGATAAGAGTGCTCGAGCACATCTATACAGGAGTTCACCATGATCACGGGTAGCTTTACCATTATTTGCGAGGATTACCAAAATTAAAACACCACCGGGCACCAATTCACGGGACCGATATTCAAGAAAGTGAGCATAATCAAGAGCAGCTTGATGTTTGAACGCGTTTATTTCGTTGTCATTAAGAGAACAATGAACTAGACATTGATCAGATAAATTGCATGGTTTGTGCGACAGCCAATGTAATGAAGTTGAAGTATAGCCGATAGTCAGTGAGTTAGAAGGCAAACATTGTTGATAAAAAGAACGGCCACTAGCCACTCCGTGATATGAACTGTTTTTGTTGAGAATATCAAAGAGAGATGCCCAATCATTTGTTGGTAAATCATTATGCACGACGAGGATCTGTTGTTTATTCTCATCAACTTTTTTGGTTTCTTTCAATGTTTGAATGATGAATTGCATGGCATGCATGGAATTGGAGCCATGAGATGAACCATAATCGCCGATGATGACAAGTGGCAAACTTTCCATCTCGATTGCATCTATTGCTTGTCGAATATATGCAGCAGATAATTTGACTGCAGCCATTTGAGTAAGAGAATTTGCATTATAGTCTTGCCCCATGCCCTGTGTTGTTTGTGCTGAATCGTTGGAACTCATAGCTGTTCCTTTACTAAAAGATAAAAACACAATTATATCTTGTGCATGTACTCGCGTTCGAGTGAAAGGATGGCAAAAACAACGATAAGTTGGTGGTTTCATTCGTTCTTGCATTATCTATTTGCTTTTTTTCTATATGTCAATGAATAAAAACACACTGTTTTCTTTCGAAGAAAGATAGCAAATATCAAATGAACTATTATGCAGTGATATTTTGCAGTCATACCCATTCAATCTGCTCACTCAACCAAATATAGTCTATGAATTGAAGAGGACCATTGAAAAACCTGAAAAAAAATTAGTATCTCTTTCACATCTCAAAAATTCTAGTTGTCGTAGCCATTTTGTTATCTCAAGCGTCCTTTATCTACTAAATAGTATATTCTGAGAACATTGCTCTATCGGAATTGAGAAGGAAAGGTGCAATGAGAACGATGAAAAGAGCCAAGTGGCAGTGCGGTTAATATTTTCTGTCTTAGAAAGATTGATTGATACTCGAAAAAGTCGATTTTAATATGGCACAATATACTTTGTCTAATGATGTCACACTTCTTTCCATTGGTCAAGTGTTCTAACTAATGACATCTGTTGTGGCGTTATCTTTAATAAATAAGTAAACTCGAAAATCTAGTGAAACCAAACAATCGATGTGGCTAGTATAGGCAGCGTCAACGCGTTGAGACTTATTGAGACGCATGATTTCGACTGAAACATAACATTTTTTTAAAGAATTTAAAAAATTCATACAGTGAGGTATATAGAAAACCAAAAGTGAAAAATCGTAGTTAACTCAACATTTTTCGAGTGGTTTTTACAGCATGAACTCGTACTGTAGTCATAAGATGTAACGAATCAGTCAGGCATTCTGTTAATGTGGACCGTATTCAATTTGTTTATTTTTTCAATTCAATAAAACGTGTGAGTGAACATGTGTCAGAGATTTTATTCTTATATTAGGAGAGAATTTGGTAGAACAGCTTAATCTGAAATTATGAATATTTTCTATTTGTTCACTTCATGTTAATCAAGAAAATACTGCATTTCGTATGCTTATTTTCTATTCAGTGGCGGCGCGATCCAGTGAAGAGTTTTTCCTTCTATTCCAGAAATTTGGATTACACCTTCTACTGATTGAGAAAGATATTTGTCTTAAACTTTCTCTCGTTCAAAAGATAATGTGTCTAATGCAGTCTGAAATTTGATAGAAAGTATGTCTCAAGCATTCTCTTATTTGAGAAAAAAATATATCGTACTTCTTCCATTTCTACGAGAATGAATCTTCAACTTGCTTCAGTTCTAAACTTTTATATTGTCCTTTTCTCTATTTTTCGTTACTTATGATGGAAATGAAAAGAATTCATGTTGTTTTCTACCTGAAGAATGAAATGCTAATCAAAGGAAGAAATCAGCATATAAGTCTTGTACTCAATAGTTTAAAGTAACATTAGTTTTTGTCAATCTATACCGTGCTATTTTTTTAATTGGTAAGCTTGTCACTAACAAAGATAAAGACGTTCATTCATTGGTGTGAAAATTATCCCACAACGACATAATTTTCTTCCGTTCTTGATTAATGATACATAGAATTATTCTTTTCATTGATTTCAGTTGTCCATCGAGAACTTTTCTGTTATTTTATGAATAGTTTCTTCTATCGACGAAATCAAGCATTCTTCCATTAAGTAATGCGACATATGTTTTAGATTCATCAACAAAATGTCGAGAGAATCGCCTGGAAAAGTCTATTGTGCTTCGAAACTATAATTGTCCAAAAATCTCTTACATCATTGTTATATCCCTCATCATAGTGTGAATACCAAAGAAAACTATAAAAAATCACTATCGAAACTCAAAGAAAGTATTAACAATCACCATCAATAGCCATCAAGATCAGATAGTATAGTCTATATAAAACACTCATCAGCAAGCATTATAGCATTATACATCTAGAATCAACAATATTGAATGCACCATTAACAGCAATGTTGAACGAAATATTACCAAAAATATCAGAACAAGTAGTAACTGAATCATTAGTTATTAATGAATATCCGCCATAATTATCTGTTATAATACCAAGTGACAAATTACATGTGAACTAGTTTCAAACTAACATGCAAATAATAACTAAGATCTGTGGTGAAATTGTATATGGTATCAAACAAAGCCAACTTGCTTTTAAATTTGTTGATAAATTAAAAAAACTGATAACTGATTTATTTTGCTTTTATGTAATACAACATTTTAAAAAAGTGCTCAATGAAACATATCTACGCTATTTAGTTGATCAAGCACTATACCTACCAATACAAGCATGTTATCCAGTTAATGAAACATGAGAGAAAAGAAAAAGTGAAACATGTGTATGCGTTCCAAAATGTTACAATGTATTTTCATTCATCGAAAATAGTCCAATAACCGATTCAATTTATTAACTTTGCTATCACCTATTTAATCATGGTTCTGACCTCACACATCAGAAAGTGTTTGGATCTTAATTGGCATAAGAATATGGAATAAAATGAAAGGTTTTTCAAATATAACTTATTCGTAGATGATTATCTGACTTTGCAATCTAGCTATTTTATTTTAGGTAGTCAAGGCACCGTAAAAAAGAAGAGAAAATTATACATTCATTTTACAAGTGAACCTCACGAATTTTCATTAGTCTTATGTAATTCTTTAAAGAACAAAACAATTATATTGCTTATATGTTCGATAAAAATTTGCAGCAACAAGAACAACAAAAGATTACAGAAAAAAATCAAATGAAGAAGTAATTGAAATTCTGATCGAATGTGCTCGATATTTATCAGAACAAGATTAAGCATTTCGTGTACTTATAGATGAAGAAGGTAACTTCCATCAACCGGTACATATATTATTTCGACATAATTCAGTATTGGCGAGCTGGATAACAAAATAATAGTGCTCGTCCATATAGAAATAAATATGTAGCTAACAAGAAATTTTCTAATTAATAGTAAATAGATAGATATATTTTCTTTTAGATCACTTATATGAGTAATGATTTTCGATTCATAGATCGGACAAAATTCAATATATTGAAAATGAAATAGATTTCAGTATACAAGCGGTGGCTACCGAAAGTAGAGTTCACTGCTGAAATGAATGAATGTTACAAAAAGCATAAAGGAAATATTAACTATAGATCTTAGTTGATGCATATAAAAAAACATGAAGAGATCAAAATCGATTGAAATTCAAACAGAAGAAACGAGCTAAGTTTGAAAATAGAATGTCTACAGGACGATATTGATCTAAGATGCAGCGTATCAGTCAAAAATGAACTATTCATCTTATTTCTCCGTTCATTCCAAAGAACTCATGGCCATTGTATTGACCTGATTGAAATTTATTTGTTCATAAATTACAGAACTAACTGACTGAGCCTATAAAGTTGGGTTTTATTATAACAAATGCAATATTGATAAACGAAATTCATTTATTATTATTAGATATGAAGGTATAAGTAAGATCTTCTTTTCAGCTGCATCCCCATCCGACGCCCTGCTCATGAATGATCATCTAGATTAATGACCCATGTTACAAAAGCCGGATCAGTTCTAGCGGTAAACGCCGGTTTACCGCGGTTCGCTATTAAAAAAAAAGCGGTTAACCGGTAGAGAGCCGGTAAAGTGAGAAAAACCGTCGGTTTACCGCGGTAAACCGAAAAAAGTAGCGGTTCACCGCGGTTAACCGAAAAAAACTGCGGTTAATCGCGGTTTTTCTATGTTAAGGAGCCGGTAACCGGACCGATAAAACCGCGGTTAACCGCCGACTTTTGTTCGGTTTTCATCACATGGGAAGGCATGTATACAAGAGTAAATTTGTTTTCTTTATTTCTTTTATTATTCTTTTTTCTATCAATCTTGAATAAACAACAAAATATATTATCAACAGTTTTTCATATGAGAGTTAGTTTTATGGTTTGTATTGTACTTGATAAAGACGATTGTTTCCGTCTTCAGAAAATAAAAGGCTACCATCTTTTAGAACAAGTAAACCAACTGGCCGTCCAAATGCATCGGGTCCAGATGGATTAGTTAGAAATCCATAAACAAAATCTTCATAGTAACCCATTGGTCGATTAGTACTACGATTGAATGGAATAAAGATAATTTTATAACCAGTTCCACGGTTTCGATTCCATGAACCATGGAATGCTGCAAAAGCACCATTTCGATATCGACTAGGAAATTGTTTCCCTGTATAAAATCTCATATCAAGTACTGCTGAATGAGCTTGAAAAAGTACATCAGGTGTTCGGGTTCGTGATACTAGATCAGGTCTTTCACTTGTTCCATTACTTAGGCGTCGTCTAGGATCAGTTAATTTTGAACTCAAATAAGCAAAAGGCCATCCATAAAATTCATTCTGTCGAATACGTGAAAAAAAATCAGGTACAAGATCATCACCAAGTGCATCTCTTTCTTGACATGTTGCATAAAGATCATTAGTTATTGGATGAAATGCTAAACCAACAACATTTCGAAGACCATAAGCAAATGTTTTTCTATTACGACCATTGATATTAGCTTGCTGAATAGAAGCTCGTGGTAATGATTCAACTGCAACATTTGATGCTGAACCAATACTAACAAATATTTGATTACCAGTAGGTGATATAGCAATAGTTCGTGTTGAATGACCATGTTGAGGATAAGTCATTATTACTTGACCTGTACCTCTAATTCGTCGACTTCCTCTAGTCCAAGAATAACGTCGAACAGCATCTTGATTACCCACATAAAAATATCCATTGAAAAAAGCCATACCAAATGGATAATTGAGTCCATTAGATGCATCAGCAAATGTTAAACGTTGATCTGGATAACCATTGTGATCATTATCGACCAGACAAGAAATACGATCAATACTAGATTCACTGACAAGGATATCATTTGTAGGTGTATAAATAAGATAACGTGGTGCTGTGAGTCCACTCATAAATAACTTGACAGTGAATCCACGAGGAACATAGAGACGAGGATTTGCAGGTACTGAAATGACCTGAGGTGGTTTAGACGCTGATGATGACGCATATGGTCGTGGAAGACTTGCAATTGTTATACGAATTGGTCGTGGAACAA